TCCTACTGAAGCATTAGCTCTGACTTAATGTGTTACACTAAATTTATTATGAAACTAATGGCTCATAGTTGCACTGGTTTTATTTTTAATCTCATAACTATGCAGAAGGGGAAACAATGATAAAAATGTTGTCATATATTTACTGCCAGGGCAATACCAGTCAGGTTATCACAAGCAAGACTTCTATGATGCAAGATGAGATAAACTGCAGAATAATTGATACAGCAATCAGAACAGTTCAGATCAATAAAATCCAGGTGAAAAAAGATCTTTTCCTAAGTGCTGCAAGCCTGATTCTCCCCTGCTTAGCATTTTCATCTGTGTGAAGTGGCAGTGAAGTGAATGGAGAATTCTGATCTGGCAGGGTTCAACTCTTGGCTTGGCCTCAGATGTGAATGACATAAACGGTGCCATCAAAAGTGTTTCTATGATTCATGTAAGTATAGAACGTAAATAAGTAATTGTAGAGTGGCTTTTTTATATCTTGCAAATAAGCATATTTACTGCGGGGCGTTCTGTATTCGCTGCAGCATTTGATATTATGTCAATGTCAGCACTCCAGCAAGATAAAGACTTCTTGGCACTGCAAATGCTGTGCAGGTATTCCAGCATCTGCATTGTGGTACCTGGTATCCAACACTATGCTATCTGATAATTTTAAAATACATTTACTCACCCAGTAATAGCTTTTCTTTTTTGAAACATGAGGCTACTCACTTTAGCCTCTAAGCTAGGGAGAGTTAACTGCTGACTTTATGGGCCATTGGCACCTTTGCTGTTTGCATTTACTGTGCGTTTTTGTGATCCTCTATGAAGCTGTTTCCCTGTACGTGGAAGCCACTGGGAAACAAGAATGCACAACAACTTGCAGAATTTAGCCTGTAATTTTATGCTCCACAATGTGACATACCTAAAGTAATCTGACAGAATGAAAGCAACACATGTCATATAAGCACCAAATAAATATCCTGTCTCCTCTGCAGCAGCTTGATTGAAAGAGATCTGACATAATGGGTGTCGTATCAGCCGAGCTACTAATCTCAGATACCAGAGATTGCAGTGCTAGAGGAGGAAACACTGCACAAATGGAGGTCATTCAGTGTCCTCGAGCACTTGGACAACTTTGTCATTTTGGACTGTTCCTGTTAATGGCAGAATACAGTGCTGCTGCTAAAAATGGTTGTTGCAGAGCTCCTTTTGCAGTGTCTGTTCAGAGGGGCTTGTTTATTTTCATGCCTTGGAAAACCAACTTTTCTAGGAAGGAAAAATCATATTCTGGGTTTTAGTGGTAAAAGCAGCAGCCTCGGAGGTACCACAGGTGGAGGTTATGGGGTTTTTTTTGTTTTTTAAGATATTTAACCCTCTTCAGGAATACAGGATTGCTTTCTAGACCTTTTGTCTCCCCCTGCCAGCAAGAAGCTGCCATGGAGGAGCTGCAGTGTTCTGGTGGGACCACAGCGGTGTCAGAGGCCACACAGAGAGATCACGTCTCTTCATGTGGTCCTTGGGTGGGAGAATTGCAGGAAGAGGTACAGTAGTTTAACTGAAAGCAGAAGGATGCTGAGAGAATTTTGCTATTTTCATGTATCAGGAGATGGCACATAGGAAGAATCCATTTCCTTGGCAACAATCCTTGAGCCATAAGGTTGAACCTGTTTACTGAGGCACAGAGCCATTCTGTCAGATGGGCATTAATACAGCAATTGCAGAGAGCCTGTGTTGTGTGTGCATCAGGTGTGAGTGTCCCAGATAGGATTCCCAGCAAGGATTGTCCATATGGCTGTTCATTCTAATTTTATATTCCCTTGTACCATTACTAATCCAGGTATGGGTCTGATTATGTTTCAAAAACAGGGAACAGCTTTTTCCTCCTTTTGTTAGTCCTCTTGCCCACTTGCATAAAACAGATTGGAGTGATGGTTTAGGAGAAGTTTCTGGAAGACAAACTTTCTCCTTGGCCTTACCAGACCTCTTCCTTCTGCATTCAGAGAAATGAGAGCTTTATAAATCTTTTCCCTTTTTAAGTAAAGTCTCTGTAGACTTCATCCAAGTAAATCTTTGGCACCAAGCTGGATTTCACCTGCACTGCAGAGTAGAAATCTGTGTTCAGTCACTCTCTGCATTACCTTTCAGGATGTTTGCCTGGACTGCTATACAACACTGAGGTTTCAGGGTTCAGGAAAGAGCACAGCACTGGGGATTGTCACCAAACTGCCCCTCACAACCCCACCTGCCTTGCCTCTTGGTTTCCTCCATTAATTCAGTTCTGTGTATATCAGCAGTGCTGCTAGGATTGCTCTTGCTCTACCACAGATAGAGCTTGGGCACAACATCTTAGTTTGGTGTTGTACTTTCTGTGTTTCATTTTCATGTGAATTGAAGAGATAAGGATCTGATATCTGAGGAATGTGTGCAGTGATGCCAGGTCATGCTCTTGTCTGATAGCTGAAGCAACTGCACTGGCATCCAATTATTTAGTATAGAGCTTTGATAATCTAGTTTTCTTGCTCATTTCATGCAGCCTGTTCCATACTAATGAAGCAGATAGGAAGAAATGTCATCAAAATATTTTTTTCCTGCTATTCCTTTTGGAGTTAGCCATTGTAAATATTGGGGTAACCCACTGAAGCAGAACTGCAGAGCCAGCATATTTCGATTTTGGTTTAATACAAACTCCAAATAATGGATTATACTTCACTTCTGGACCTGGCACGTATCATTCAGGTTGCCCCAGAGTGGGAAAAAGCAATATATTTTTCAATTGTATACATTTTGATGAATGCTGATACTACACAGCTGCATTTGAAAATACCCATCCTACCCAAATTCTTAGCTTGCTTTTATCTCTCTTTTTCTATATATATATATATGATTTTTTGAGCTACGTCTAAAATGCATCTGCCTCTTCCTGGCTGAACCGATTTGAGCTGTGTGTCTGACTACAAGATGCACTTTAATGCAGTGTAATTTCATGGGAAATTTGAAGTAGAAGAATTATGGCTGTACTTTGTTGGGACTCCTTAGTATCCTCTCCTGCTGCCATTTTGAAATCTTTAAGAACTTTTCCTGCTGAGGACACGAAAGCAAGTGTTGAGATAAAAAACAAAAAAATTGCAGTTCAGACTGGATAGGAACAATTTTCTGCTCACATATTTTGATTGTGCATTGGGATTTGCCATTTTCCAAATGGTTGTACAGTGCAGTCTAGCACAACTAAGCCATACACAGTTGGAGTTCTCCAGGCAATGTTATAAAAACTAAAATATGAGGACATTTTCATCTGCAGACTGTAAAGGGTGCAGGGTGGAACAGTCCCTTCAGTGTAACACATGACTACCCAGTTAATGGAACAACATCAGTCCTGCAAGGAGAAATCTGCATCCACATGTAGCCCATCCCACTGGCATGCCCATTGGTAAGGCAGTGTGTTGGTCCTTCTGTCAGTACATTTCATTAAAGTACATTTAATTAACATAAGTTTTACTTTTGTTTCTGCAATATACAGTCAGTTAAATCATAAATACTGTTTTGTAACCTGATAGAACAGTATGTAATGGTCTTTATCTTGTATCCCTTTTACCCTGAATTTCACATCCTCTTCATAATTTTTAATGACAGCAACAATTTCTATTACGCTGCTGGAACTTTTCCCAGGGTAGTTGTGTTTTTCATAAATAATATGTGATTTAGAATTTAAACTGCAGCAAAAAAGCTGCTAAATCCAGCATCTTCTGTGACTGCAAATTTATGTAAAAAAAACCAATTGGCCCTAGTGAAAGAGATTGAAAATGTCTTGAAAAGAAAACAACCTCAAAATCTAAGTCAAATGATGCACAAGGTAACTGAGCTTTCTGCAGCCCAGGGAGAGTTGCTCTAGATAGGAACATAGCAAGCAAACCACAGGGAAGGCAGAACATATTGGTATATCAGCTCTTCTCTCTTATGAAGATCAGCTGAACGTTTGTTTTGCTGCAGCTGCAAAGTCTGAAAGTAGAAAAAGTTACAATAATACAGTAAGCAAGGACATGAAACAATAGCTTAGAGTTTTAGGCTTGGCTAAGATAGACTTTAAGACTGTAGAAAAATATGCTTAGCAAGACTGTAGAAGGTTTTAAGTTTAATAATGAAGTATTTGTGTATTGTTAATAGAGAGCATACAAGCAAGCATTGTGTGAAGCAGGTGTACATGTGCTTTTAGTGATTGGCTAGAACAGTTGTCTGGAAGCTTTAGCAATATGCTATTGGCTAGGAAGTTTTTAAAGTGCTCTGTAACAAATAAATCTTTGGCTGCAGCTGTCAAGATGTGAGCTATTGCCATCTTTCTATTGTCTCAGCCATATCATGAGGTTGATGCTGCAATAAAATCTCAGGGAAGTTATCCCATCAGTCCCATTCTGTTTGTGAAAAACCACCAACACCAACAGAGAAAATGGAAAAAACCAAATTCCTGCTTCAGCACTGGAACCTGAGCAGTGTTGGGGAAGCTGTGGGCTGTGCCTTTCTGGCCTTGTTTTGGAACTCAAAGCTCGTGGGATGGTGTGAAGCAGTGGCAGACACAGATATTATTGGCTGTGGTTCATTCTGCCACTTCTTCGCATGCAAAGTGAGAGATCATTGGAAAACTCAGGAAAGGAGAGAGATCACTGCACTCAGGTATTGATTACAGAGCACTCTTTTTCTCTGTATTTTGAACCCATATTGACTTTATAGGTGGCACAGAAGCCAGAGGTAGTGCTATAAATCCTCATTTTCTACCAGAGCTGCTGAGTTTCATGATCAAATCTTCCAAAGCGGAGTATATTTTACTGTGTGGTGAACAGGGACAAAGTTCTTCAAGATACATGTGCATAGCATGATTCTATAGATTGAATAAAGATCACCTAGGAATTTGAGTCACTCTTCTGTAGAGGATAGTAGCCTGTTTAAAGTTCCTAAAGTTTAGCTAATTAAATCCTGTGTTTGGCCCTAATTTTATAGTTTCTTTGATTATTTCTTTCTAGCTCAACAAAATTCACCAAAAATCCATGAAGGCTGGTGGGCTTATAAGGAGGTGGTCCAGGGAAGCTTTGTTCCTGGTAAGTGTAATTTTAAAATTTTAGACTTCCTTAATTTTTTTTTTTTCACTGGAATTAATATAGTTGGATTTGGGGAAAATATTTTGGGTTTATTTGTTTTCATTGCAAAGATTTTTAGTTGACAAGTACTCAACATCACATTATTGTGAAGTGCAGAAAGGTTTCTGTTAATCCATCATCCAAAAACCATGGCTGTTTTTCAGGGCAGAAATCACTTTAATGACATTCCTGGTTTCTCTCAGTAAAACTAACATGATGCTGCTTTGTGAATGTGTAGTTCTGTGTGTAGAAAAGGGAAAGGGACTGAAAAGTATAACTGCTAACTGGATGAAATCATTTATCTGTTGTAGCACTTCTAGGTAATAGCATTTCTGCAAATTTAAATTAGATTTTTGAGTAGATGAGGACAGGAACCCACTGCATGCAATTGTCACTGATTTTTGTTTAGTAAACAAAGTATGAGTGAAAAAACTAAATAACTGGGCTTCATTGTAAATGTAAATTTAGTAGATTTAGTAAATGATAAATTTACTATGATTTAAATGATAAATTAGATTTAGTAAATGATAAATAATCAAGAGGCAGCTAAAAGTATTCTGTGCAGTATCCTTTCAGTGTGATTGAGATTAATTTGCATTAATTGATGTATATTAGCTATATCTTATAAGGTAAAGTAGTGCTTCAAGTTTTATCATGAATGCATCAAGAAAACTGCTGTGTGATCCTTATTTTCTCATAATAGTAGAAAATATTGGCTGTTGTGTGAGCTATTCCTGAGGATCTGTAGATTTGACCTACCATCAGCTACTTTCACTGTTGTGAGAACTGTTACAGCCTGACAGTCATCTGAAATTCCCAAAATGCTGATTGTCTTGTTAAGAAATCTAGTGCAAATGAGATGAAGTATTTCAGCCCACACATTTCTGGCACTGAAATGGTTGTGAAAATCTACAGGCCTGGAGCTTAATTACATATTGATGTAGCATAAAGTAGCTTTTCAGATGTACTTGAGATTGGTTTGGGCTGTCAGAGACGCTCCAGTGTATTGTGCATGTTTAGTTCCTCATAGTGACAGCAGGGGAAGAAACCTGGAGAATATAATCACCTGATTTCAGCCTTCCTGAGCTGCATAACTCAGGGAGATGCCCAGCAGAAAATTAATGAAAAAAAATATTTGCTAAACAGGCCTAAATTTAAAGTTACTGAGAAAATTCATATAATTGTCAGAACGTAAAGAAACCTGTGATCAGTTCATGCTTGTGGTGTTCTAGCCTAATACTGTGAGACTTTTAGGCTGAGGAACATCCTTGGAAGATGAATGAGGAAACAGTGATGACTCAGAAACTTCTGGGAAGGAAGACCTCTTAGAGTGATGTGGAGGCACACCTCCTTTCTGAGGGAAACCTGAATAACCAAGGTGTTGAATATCTGACTAACCCAGCACACATTCTCAACAACTGGTCCAGAAAGTCGTAATGAACAGCACTGAAGCAACCTTGAAGAAAGCAAAGGGAATTTGGGGGTACCTTTCTTTCAAATTCAACTCTGCAACATGCAATGTCAGCCTCAGCAGAAGAGAAAAAACCCATGAGACTTTACAGTACAAACAACTGATTTTTTTTTTTCTCCTAGATTTGGGAGCCTTTGAAAACCATATTTAAAGTCTTTCAAGGCTGCATTTGTGGCTGTGCTCTCAGACTAACACACCACAAAGGATCTGTTGGTGCATATGAAGTTTATCTGTGTTGGTGGCAGTCCTGTATCAGATCTCACGTGAGATGCTAATTAGCACCTGAGAGGTGAGAGCTGCCAGGCAGCCTGAGGAGCATTGCTGGAGCTGCTGATGTGCACTGAAGCAAACAGCTACAGCCATCTGCCAGGATGTTTTCTTCCCACAGCTGTCCATCCTGACCCAGGGCTGGAATGAACACCCCCAAAGATATTAGAAAGGAGTGTTTGTCCAGCAGCCTGTCACTGCAGTTCAGACCTGGCATCTCAGCTGGTAGGAGTGACATGAATCCAGCTGCAGAGATGATTAATTAGGGGCAATATAATTGTAAAACACTCCAGGAGGAGTTGCTGTGGTTTGTCTGTCACAGCTTTAGCTGGGTGAATACTTTTCACCTTCTTCAAAGTAAAGTCACTGTCACTCTTTGAACTCTTACTTCTTCCATGGAGAGCTGTGTAAGAATGCAGTTAGGAGTGTATCACTATATGCCTGGGTTAGAATGTGCCATTCATAAGTTTTTCTGCTTAGTCTGTTTTGGAAGCATTTAAGCCAAGTCCTAAAAACACACTGGATCCTGTACAGATTTGCCATTGAACAGTTCATAAAATCAAGCCATATTTCATTATGTTCCCCAAATCCAGACTCCCTATATTCTCAGATAGATTTTATAAAAAAATAATTTTAATTCCTTTCTAATGTCCATCTGGACACAGGCTTTTTCCTGCTATAAGCCACTGAGCTGCAGTCAGTGATGTGTATCTCACAGAAGGGAAGGATGTAGGCAGAGATGCAATCCCTCACAGTGTGTTTCCCAAATTCACTTCTTTCTGTGCTCCAAGAGAAGGCAGCATTGAGAGCTGGCAGGTTCTCTCAGCCCAGGAACTGTGGCTCAGGTCTGTCTTGGTGCCCAGCCTTGAAAGAGAGATGCAGAGTTCTCAAGTGCAGCAGGGAAAGTTCATCCAGGCTGGATTTGTGTATCTGCTGCTGGAACAGAAACCACTCTCCATCTCTCACCTGTTCTACAAGCAAAGAATTGCTCTTATGATTTAAATCATGTAGGCAAACAAAGTAGAAAGTAAGTAGAACTTTAAAATGTTAATTGAATGCAAATTAGCTTCCAAATTAAACTTCAGGGAATGTTCAAGTATGAAGAAGGAATAATTTCCTTTATGCATGGTGATTTGCATAATAATAAAAAAATATATCGTTACAAACGCTTACTACATAGAGTTTTTCTAGTGTGGAATATCTAATTCAGTCCTTCCATGAAAGGAAAAAAAAAGTTTTAGGGAGCCAGCAAAGTGAACTAACAGCAGTAAAGAGCTCTGGAAGCCTAAAATTTTAAACCTTCACAAACTTGTGACTGAAACACAGTTCTTTGCTAATGTGGTCTCAGATCCCTAATTATCTTTCTTAGCTGTGGCTTTTCCTTCTCAGTTACAATTTGTATCCACAAAAGAAAAATTGCATGTAGCAGGTGTATCCTGGCCCTTGCTTTGTTATCCTGACGTGACCAAATGATTCCAATTGTTTTCTTGCCTGTTCCTAGCCCCACCAGGCACTGCAAAGGTCAAGCTTTCCCTTGTTGTAACCAACACATGAAGTGCCAGGTTGGACCTTGCTGTGCCACCAGCTGTCCAGGGCCTGTCCTGCTGCACCCGCACGTTCCCCTGCCAGGACCTGAGCAGTGTCCCTCTTCTGCCTCAGGAAAGTGCAAATAAGGAAATCCTTGAAGGCAGTGCCTTGCAGATCCTTGTCAATTATTGTCCCCACACTTGCTGCTAGGTTAGATAACATTCTTGGTGTAGGAGTACTCCAGATACGTTCTGATGAAGTTGAAAATCCCCTTTCCCACTGTCCTGAAGCGGATAGTTACCTTGCAGTGACACTAAATATGGGTTATAAGCACAAAGAGCAATTAAGTACCAGGAATTTTTTGTACAACTGTAGCTCCCAAAACCTGCATGGATGATGGCTTCTAGCTGGGAAGTAGTTCAAGAGGTGAAAACTATTAGGGCATATATTCAGAGAGCAGTATCCAAAACGTGCTGTCCTACACACTGTGTGTTTACAGCCTCTACAAACCTTGAAGTGAAAAGCCAGCAAGCCACCTGTGTGCTCTTAGAAGGGTTCATCATTACATGATGAGCACATCCTCTTAAGCTTTTGCTTTAGAAAAGAAGGATCATCCCTGTGCACTGCCTTAGCTGGACTAGCAAAAATTGGGGTTTGGGATAAAAATGAGTGGCATTAAGATGTTGCCCACTGCTACTCTTGCCATTATCCCACTTAGAAAAATTACTCTTGTAAAATACCTTGATGAAAAATTTCAAGATTACTACAGTTACAGTTGTGACTGTCAGATAGGAATTCAGCTTCTCTTTCACTGAGACTGTTCACATCAGGATATTATAGTGACTTCAGGAAGATGATTCCGATTACACTGGTGATGGACCCAGCACCAATGGGGACTTTATATAAACACAGTGTGCAGCTTTTAATTTGTACATATCATTAGTGCAATTTAGTGTAGAATTTGCCACATCATACAGAGGAAAATATGGTCACTACAGCTACACCCTCATCTGTGGTTAAAATAAAGATCACACCACTGCTCTGTGTATGGTTACACAGAGTAGCTCTGCCTGTTGGTTATTGCCACTGAAGCTTCACTGGTGCTAACAAAAAACCTCTCTGCCAAATCCTGTCCCCTTCTTAATTAAAAAATCAAAAAGAAAAGGAAATGAGACTGTTACCTAAAGGTGGATACATCCTATGGTATGCAAGTACTTTCCTAATAGACAGCTATGATTTTACTTGTAAATATGGATTCACAGGGTTATTTGATCACAGCATTTCTTCAGCAACCTGCTGACTTTATTTCTCAAAGTCCATGAATGTGTATGTGTAGGATTCCTCAGCCTCCTCAAATACAGAATTGCTGGAGACTTGATAGTCTCCAACTGATCATTTGTACTTAGTGAAAATTTCCTCCTATCATAACCCCTCTCTGAAAAGGTCACTTTTGCATTCACTGAACCGTGAATGCATTGAACATACTCAGGAGTAAAATCCATGCTCACCATGAGGTTGTGGAATTATTATTTGGATAAGTTTACATGCTGTTACTTACACAGATTAAAATACAGATATTCTATACCATTCTATACCATCACCCCATCATCGCATATCTGGGCACATACTTTTTGTGGTCTGTGAAAGATTTATCCTCTCAGAACTCACCACAAAATACAGTCACCTACTTAATGCA